TTGAAAAAATTATTTGTAATTTACTATTATGCATATTAAAAATGACATGTATTGCAAATTGTACTTTATTGATACACTAATTGCACATTAATAATTTTGTACGTTATCGTATCGAAATGACACCGAATAAAAAAAAATCAGCAAGTGCACTAATACTCTATTAAGTCTGGTTTTTATTTTCAAAAATTGGATACTTTTTTTTAAAACAATTGAAATAACATATTCAACCAAACTATATAAATATGTTAAATTTGTTTTTTACATATCTATACATAATGTAATTTTTAGAAAAAATAATATAAATTATTAAATAAAAACATTCTATTGTTTCTATAGGGTTTCATCTCTAGCCTACCCCAATTTGTTTGGGACTAAAAGGCTTTGTTGTTGTTGTTGTATTAAATAAAAACATTAACACACTAAATATATCTATGATAATATAAGTTACATATTAGTTCGACTATTTAGGTTAGTTTGATTTACCGATCAAATAAATTGGTTATTCTGTTCTTAGTTTTGGTTAAGACAAATCAATGAAAAAATGACTAAACTTCGAGTGCACATTAATAATAGTTGGATTGCACAATAGTGGTTGTCATGTTGCACTATGGTTACCAAAACTGACCAACAAATTTTTGTTGGGTTCGATATTATATTTTGGTTTGCATATATGTTTACAATTTTAAATTTTATTGATAGTTCGGTTCGATGTCAGTTATATATATATATATATAAATTAGATAAACTATCAAAATATAAAATAAAATATGATTTTGTTATTTATATATTTTAGGTCTTACAAAAGAATAATATAAAAATATTAAATAAATATCAAAATATTAAATATATTTTTATAATATAAATTATAATTTGTTTCAATTAATTATGTTAATTCGGTGGACTGATCAAATAAACCAAATAGTTCGCTCGATTTTAGTTTGGTTTGGAAAAAACATAAGAAGTTACTGCACTGCTAGTGCACAATAATGTTAAGCGGATTGTACTTTAATGACTATTAGATTGCACATTAATGACTATCCGATTGCACGTTATCATCTGAAATTGACCGAACTAAAATTTTCGGTTCATATTTTATATTTCGGTATGATTATATGTTTTTTTTGGTAATTTTTAATTGCATTTTTACTGACAATATAAGGCACAATATTGTGCAATATCATTTTCTCCGGTTTTAACATTTGGTCGGTCGGTTCGACCAACTCGACTGATGAGCAATATTTTACAGTCCGTAATTTATTTTAACTTTTAATGTGCGTATACACAC